ACGCTCTTCCAGGAAAAAGGAGAGACAGGATACCTCCACTAACGCCTAGGGAATCTGAGAGCACAAGGACTGCCTAAATTGAGACCCAAGAAGGCAGCCTTCTGAATGTCAGATAGAAAGCTTTTTGGCTAGATTTCTTGAATTTTCTGCCCAGTTGAAAATCATAAAAATCCAATACCTGCTTCTTATTCTATATTAAAGTTCAGATTTCTGATGAAGATCTTTAAGTTCCATATTAGGTATTTTTATCACACTAAAAAACCTAAAATGTATGTTTTACCCCCCAAAAAAAAACCTGTAAATATGTAAAAAAAAGCCTAAGATTTCACCCCAAAATAGACTAAGAATTCTTTTTCTGAGGAGTGATTTCAAAACAGCAGATAAACCAGATAGTGTTAATGAGAATTCACCCTGATCTGACTCTGCAGATAAGCCTCTCATGCTGGTATATAAGCAATTGATCTCAGTAGGAAAGGTAGGTAATAATTATTTGACCGGTACCCTAATTATGTTTACTACTCATAATGAACGAGATGCACATTTGCATAAGATGCACAATCTCCTGCTGCTCTTGCCACTAATAGCTAGGAAAACAGAAGACCTGTGACTGCAACTACTGGAAGCTGTGCTATATAAAACATGTACTAATTTTGTACTTCCTTTTCTGAAGGAAAAACATCTCTTAAGCACCACAACTCATGATATATTTTTATTAAGTTCTTTATTCTGCAGTGAGAAGAAATAACTAAATGCCACTGTTTCAAAAAAAGCAGCATGCAGGTAGCATGAGACTCCTGTGGTTATGCTGCCTGGGGAACCATATAACAATATCAAGATTTATAATGACATTTCATGGTGTGTAGTCAAAGCAACATATAGTATATTTGGAAAGTCCGTATAAATGCTGTGTGCTTTTGTTGATCAACTGACAAGATAACATGCTATAAAGAATTAGCTTACGTACTTGAGAAGATTTTAGTGTATGTACCCTACCTGTATTTTGTTTATTGCTCCAACAGAGTCATACCAGGTCTGTACGGACCCGGGAAACTGCCTGGTCACTGTCATTCGAAGAACAATGCAGAAGGAAATGGTGGTAAATATTTTTCGGAGAATAATTCCTTTAGTCACGGCATATGGAAGCACAGCTAAAAACACCACAAAAAAGCCTGAAAAGAAGAAGGCTGAGCTGTTGAAATATCTCATATAAGCAGCTTTTCGGGTTAGCTTCAGTTCAGTTCTGTTAAAAAAACAAATACAAATAATTAGTAGAGGATTCCACAGTTTACATGTTACAAATATTCTGGATGGAACTCTTGGTAAAACAATTAACTCAGAGGCTCATTCATCCTTGTTATTTTCTAGGATTGCATTTAAAAAGCAAGATTCAAAACAATTTTTGGACCTAAAAAATAATTTGAGCCAAATTTTGGCACCAATGTTCAGAGATGCCAGACGAAATAACAATGATCTATGTCATGATTTAGATACCTCACAAACCACAAGCCTCTACAATTGCTGGCACAACCATCCTTAAGCATCTAATGCTCCGGTATATAATAAACTCCCAGAAGCATCATCCCATACCGATCTGGTTATCTAGATAGATAATTCCCCTAGAAATAGGATACTTTGAAACACTAGATTTGCTATACATGACCATAAAAAACGTAAGAACAATGCACAATCCAATTATAGTGTCATCTCCTTTTGCAGAGAACCCTACTAACAGCTTCACCCATGAAGTAAGGTATCAGATAACCTCAGCTTGGCTTGAAGAGGTGGGAGGCAGAGTCTGCTCTCCCTCTTCCTTTCTCCGTAGCTCAGTCTATGGAGCAGCTTATTGACTGCTGTGCAGTCAGGAATGCAACCGGTGATTACTCTTAGCTGCTTCCACAATCTCTAGGCATCTTACAGCAAGCTATTAAATAAAAAAGAGAAACAATCTAGGGAGCATAATTCATTTTCTGAGTTGATAGCCCTAACTCACAGTGCTGAAGCTTTTTGACTGCTCTCATTTTGACCCCATGCACTTCACATTCCCCAGGTGCCCTGCAGCTCAGCTTTGCCTGAACAGAGGCACCTCTGCGGCAGTGAAAGAGCAATTTGCTCTGCTGCAAGAGCAATTAACTGGGCCTAGCGATGGAGCTAGACCCCAAGGTCCCCATTCACTGGGTGTGTGCTCTAACCACTGGGATACTGTGCAGAAGTTTACAGTCACATTGGTGACAGTAATGCCTGGTGTTGCAAGGCCGAGCACTGTGTGTCTTCTGGTATTGAGCCAGTGTCTGCATGCAAAGTCCATCCAGGATTTTGGAGCTGTGTGGAACCCCATGTCAGCTCCACACATGAGACTTCCACATGCATCCAGCATCTTACCAACTTTTGTCAGCCAAAGTGTTCTTAAAAGTCCCTGACAGAAAAATCTGATCTTAGCCAGTTTCAGAGCAGGGTGCCTAGCACTTCTTGTTAAGTCTGTATTTCACAAGAGAGGCCTGAAGAAAGCAGCCAGGCATGCAGGTCACCACCATGGTAGTAGCCACTGCCCTGGAGAAAGGGCCTTGTAAGTCCCTCCAGAGCTTGTATGAGACTGTGGGTGGCAGCACTGAATAGGGATAACAAAGATTTTTGGGCTTGGTGCTTGTCCAGTCCCACACAAACACCTGGGTAGAATCCCCTGAGTGCTGAAGCACACAGCCGCTGCTCCAAAGAGGGAGAATCAAAGCACTAACGCTTTTCAGTATGTTCCCAAGTACCAGGCACAAGCCGGCCCAGCCGCAAGCAAAAGTTTTCCAGAGGCGCATCTGTCTGTGATACAGGCTTGAGAGCTCTGTAAATTAAGCACTCATTTAGGACAGGTCGTGCTGAGGCAATACGGGCACTTGGAGAAAGATGTAAGGGACACTATGAGCCTCGTGCATTTATAGACCGTAGACCAGCGTATGTCTGGTTTTGAAGTGATGCTGCAGGAATCAGTACAAACACATCTCAAGATTCTTTGCTTTATATAAAGATGTATCTTCTGCTGACAAAGTACAGACACTTCCAACCTTGGACTTCACCTTCTCCAGTGCTATGCTATGGTTTGGGGGAACAGTTTGGCATTGTGGTTTTTTTACTTCTTTGAATACATTGCATAGCCCATAGGAGTACAGGTATCTTTATTCAGACAGCTGTTACGAACAGTTATTATCAGTACAGACTTCAGAGAGCACACAGGAGACAGCCCATATTGGTCCCTCTGAAATGTCACAGTTCCCACGGGGAGTTTGCCTGCGGCAGCGTTACACCTGCAGGATGGCCAGCCCTGGCAGCTCAAGTCTACGAGAGTAAGGGCACGGGTCTATCTAGTTCATTAGGGCTGATTCAACTGGGTTGCATCAGAAAATGCCAGCAAGTAGAAGCAATTTGGTAACGACCGAGTTATAACGCACTGTTGCTAAAATACAGGCATGGCTTCACACACAAGGTCTCGTTTCCCTAGAAATAGGATACTTTGAAATGCTAGATTTGCTATACATGACCATAAAAAATCTAAGAACAATCCCAAGTACCAGGCACAAGCTGGCCCAGCCACAAGCAAAAGTTTTCCAGAGGTGGGTCTGTCTGTGATACAGGCTTGAGAGCTCTCTAAATTAAGCACTCATTTAGGACAGGTCTTGCTGAGGCAATAGGGGCACTTGGAGAGAGATGTGGTGCTTAACAAGCCAACTGATTGGGAGGCCCTGCAGAGCTGGCTCAGCAAGCAAAATTCAATTGAAGCTGACATTCCCGGGTTGACCTGCTCTGGTGATGTCTTCACAAAGAGACCTGTTGGATCACTCCAAAAAATACAGTATTTTGGTGCAGAGAAGTAGAAGAGAGATACTTTGATCTTGTAATATTGCTAGCATTCTTGTCTTCTAAAAATCCATGAATAATATAATAAAAATTGAATTCCAGCATTACAAAATTCATTATTGTAGAAAATATAGATCATAAAATGACAGTCCTTTTTCCAGGTTTCTGTGACCATTTTGTAGACTAAAATTTATTTAATTCCTTTCTACAGGATTTGCTCACAAGATGTGGTCTCAAATTTCCTAAAAGCAATGCATGTGACTAGTGAGACTAGGGGAATCCTAACCTGGTCCCACCCTCGAGCTGGCACTCCCGACCTGGATTCAGACTGAGTTTTCTCTGATTGTTCACAGTAAAACATTAAAATTTTTAAGATCTTCCTTCTTCTAAATGTAAAGAACACTTCACTTTCCCTGGATCGTCTTTCACAAAACAGCTGAACAAGAAGGTGTTTGTGTAATAATATCGTTTCTTCTCTTTTATTTACATGATAATATGACACTTCTATTTCTTTTCTTTTCTTTTATTTTCCCAATCACACACGTGGCACAGAATTTTAATTCTCTGCAAAGGACTAAACAAACACACGGGACAGCTTTAGTGCAGGCGTCACCCATAATCAATATGTCACTTCTCCCTTCCCCCAGGATTCGCTGTCAGTAACGAAGACCTTCTCATAGCTCTCAGCTAACTAGGTTAGCTCTTTTACCTCCTTTCTGCTTCAGGTCTGGTAGTTCCAGTTCAATCTCGGTATTAATTGAAGAGATAAGCATTATACAAGGCTATCTACAGACAATAAATGTTAGTGCAATTGTGCAGGGTGAACACATGAAGCTGTGCTACTGTAATCCTTTCACTGATTGCATGTAACATTTAAAACCAGCTTTATTGCATTTCTCAGAAAATGGCTGCAGAGGACTCATACTGTTTCCTCCACTGCAGAATAGGCAACTCTGTAAAACCTTAAGTAACCACCATCACAAAAGGGCTTTTTATTGTAAGATGAGGATAGGGTTGGCCAGAAACAAACACAGATGCCACAATTGTTTTACCTGCACAAGCTAACCACTGAAATATCATTATAATATATGAGGAAGCAAATTTAAAAAAATAAAAAAATCTCACCTCCATAGTGAACTTGACAAATTGGGAAAAAAACCAAGCTGCAGTGTGGGAATGCACAGTTAGTTTAGGAAGGATTAATATTTGTGTGCTTTACTTCTTAACTAACAAGACCACAGATGGTGTTCATAGCCCCCTATTTTTTTTTTTTTTTTCCTGAGCACATAAAAAATTTGACTAACAAATGAGAACACTTACTCACGGATGCTTTCAATCATTTTTTCCATTGCATCTTCCCAACAATAGGCTTTAACTGACTGTATATTTTCAATTATTTCTGAGGTGATGACAAGTCTCTCATTGATCTTTCCTGCCCTCTTATTCCTACAAAGTAAAAAGACAGTAGTTCAATCTGTATAGTTAGTTTGTATCCGATTATATCTTATGAAAACACTTTCCTTACATGCCTACGCTTAAAATGTTTATTTTAACAGAATTATTATGAAGAATGTGAAAGGAATTATTAGAAATCAAGTAATTGTTTTACTAAGGAGAAAATACAAGCTCTAAAAAGAATAAACTAAGTCACTAACAAGGAGTTTTAATTCTACAAAGCATTATCATTGTTTACTGCACATTAGACCTTTCATTTTGTTAAGTTTAAACACCTGCTGCTAAATAAGTAAAGGCTGGTCTATGACTTTCCCGACACAGCCAACACTCTCTGGACTCCTCTTTTGTAACAATGTCATTACTAGAGCCCCTTAATCAAGTGGTATAAACTTCTTAAACCAGCATATTTCAGGCAAATATATTGAAATATTTTAAAACAATCTCATCACCTGTATTTCATCATCATTTGTCCCAGCCAGGCTTGGAAAAAGGCCAGGACTATTAGCAAAGCAAGTCCAGAAAATGCAGAAGCTTCTAACATATCCCAGAGCAGTCCCATCAGCAGTGCCACTTGTAAAGGTGCAATCCATACAAAATGAGCCAGAGCAAGACCCTGTGGAAGCCCGCAGCAGAAAATAATAATACAAGTTACAGATGTACTCTGAAAACTGCATGAAAAGGAAGAAGTCAATAAAGTGACACTTTGAAAAATGTAACGAAGAATGGTACAAATATTTCCAGCAGTAAAACAAGTTTATAAAGGAGGATTTGTGATCCTGAGCACATAGTGTTCTGGGTGTTAATTATGGTGACAGCACAGCGATACATATACATTCCACACCTAAACTTTGATTTTTGTAAGGCAAAGTTCAGTCTGCAATTGTCTCTTCGCTATGTATAAGCACAAGGACAAACCCCAGCTTTGTAAAAGTAAACAGAATTTGCTGTCTTTGTCAACCACTGCAAGATGAGAAAAACACACAGAAGAATCTTCTGAGAGTGATTTGATCTGATATAGGAGGCAAGTATTACTTTGCTGAAGAGACGACTGTTGTGTGAACACAACTAATTCAAAACAGATTGCTGCCTACTTCAGTCATGTTCCTCCACATTGGGAAGATTTTGGACTGAATCCTGTGATCAGGCTGCACAGGGGTCTGTGTTACTGCAGCTACACTGCTGCAATATTAGGGCACTTGTCCTAGCTTGTTCAGCACTAGCTGACATTGCTCTCTATAGTAATATAGTGCTTAAAGAAAATACACCCTACAGTCCCAGCCATGTGTCTACAGTTTCTCTGATCTTGCTTCTTTCACAAGAAGCAAACCTTGTACTACCAATGGGCCAATTAAATATACATGCTAAACAGAAATTCATAGAGTTTCCAGTCCCCAAAGCCATTAGCAGGGATTTACCTCTGTGTATTTAATGAAAGAGAAGTTTTACAGGAGACTCTGGAAGTACTGTCTAAGACAATAAGGTCTTACATCAACACTTATTCAGACTTTTAGGAAAGTGGGTAATAGTAACAACAGGATGCTGAACATCATCACTTGTTCGATGGCAGGAATGGACTGGATCACCTTCGTAAAACAGTACAGTGGTCAGGAAAAGAGCACGGAAGGATTGAACCAGCAAGTTCTGACCTCTATGAAACCAACTGCATAATCCAGAGGTTTCCTGGCAGGTTCTCACTGGACTGTAGAACAAGCATGTTTTTATGGCATACCTGGTTTTAGATTTCCTCTACTAATCAGATTCATTTTATATCAACAATTAGCACTCAGTGCAGTCCGTCATTTATACTCCTTCCTTCCCAAATATTTGTCATGAACAGCTTTAAGTATTGCATTTGTATTTGATGGATCACCACGTTGATTAAACAACCGATGACATACCTCATCAAATTTGTTCAGATTGTTGGAGAGAAGACTGACCAATTGCCCAGTACTTATTTTATCTAGAACTCTGCTTGACAGTTTTAAGATCTGTAAAAGAAAACAAAACCATAGAAAAATGGCCATGTAACTCATTCCCATAAAACAGAATAAACACAGGTAAAAATAATAGGCAATGGTACTGTAGTATAAATAACAATTCACTTATCTGCTTGTGCTATAAAGAAAGTCTCATTAAACTTGTTATTTATGTCACTTGAATTTAATACAGCCATTAAATTGCTTTAGAAATATTGATTTATTGACTTAGTCCTTGCTTTCTGTTGCATATTTTATGTATATAGATATATATGCAAATTAAAGTTTTAATTAAGCATGCATGCTGTGTGCTGCTGTGCATCCTCAAAAACCTCCTACTGTGCCTATCTTGACAAATATTTTTGAAAGATGCTTTCACAGTGAGCTTTATACTAGAGTAACTAACGTGTTTGTTTAAATTAGCTGCTTTTGATATTGGTAAAACCAAACACCTTTTTAAATCTTTGGATTTGTGAACACGCGATGCATCAGTATCTCTTGATTCTTCATGCTAGAGAGATCTCACACAGTATCATTCAAACTCAATCCCTTCTATGTTATATTTATTGTTTAAAACTTCACCTCTAATACTCTTTCGAAAACACTCTTTGGCCACCAGCATATGTTATTCTTCTTTTGCAACACACATGCATAACAGGAGCACAGCGGTAGAACAATTAAGGCATCTCACCACTTATCCAGCAAGTCTGAACTCACACAGAGGCTGACTTCAGTCAAACCAGCTGTGGACGAGTATTTAATTCTTTGGACTTAGGAAACGGAGAGCTGTCAGAAACTGATGTTAACCACATTATTCTTTTGTGTACTTTGTGTACCTCGACTAACAAATCTATCAATCTTTCAACAAACTGGCCTAAAAGTTATGTAGGCTACAGACAGAGGTTTGTCTTTGACTGTAAATGAACTTAGGAAACGGAGAGCTGTCAGAAACTGATGTTAACCACATTATTCTTTTGTGTACTTTGTGTACCTCGACTAACAAAACTATCAATCTTTCAACAAACTGGCCTAAAAGTTATTAGGCTACAGACAGAGGTTTGTCTTTGAGTGTAAATGAAATAATTACCTTCTTATAAATCAAGCTAAACATAGCTATTCTCATTTGCATTCCTATATGATGAAGACCAAATATAGCAGGGTGTATGAGTAGTGTTCTCACAAGGAAGAGAAGGCACAAGCCAATGGCCAGGTAGTAGGCTATGGATCTTTCATCAGAGTTGTCTGGGTCATAGGAAGCTATTATTCGTCCCAGCAGAAGGGGTTGCACAGATTTGGTGACTTCCTGCAGATGGAAAGAAGCGAAAAAGAATTTTTGGTCAGTAGTTTGTTCATTTTTTTCAAAATGGTTAACATTTTAATTTCAAGTCCTACCAACTGAGATTTACAGCTTTGCGTCTTAAATGAGGAAGCCAGGTCTGTTTGCTGTGCAAACCACAGAAAGTTGCAGCAATTACACAGCAGAACAGACAACTCACTCTCTTAATCTGTGATGATCCTGCAACTCCACCAAAGCAAATCTAGTTTGTAAATTTTGTTTGATCATTTTCTACAAAAGCGATAACTGAGATTAGCTTCCACATTTACTTTTCAGAGTTGTAATGGATTAGCCACATCATATGACTGAATCCAGTTTAGCAGGCTGGATCTCTGTTTTGGCCCCTAGGGAACAGTTCTCGCTGCACTTTACTGGACTTACAGGACACAGGAAGACTCAGAGCTCCTGAAATGAACACCAGCAGAATAACACGGTGAGGATATAGCTAAAACATAAAGTAAAAGGAAATAGTAACAGAATAAAAGTATAAACAATTTGGATCATCCTACCCAACAGTTCTAGACATTCCATCCAGGGTTGTAACAAAAGCAGGATGAGAGGGCGTAAATGGTAGGGGAGGCAAATTTAATAAAAGTCCCAGAGAGAAACCAATCCCTCCTGCACTGGCAGCCCCAGCACTTCCCATCCGGGGATGAGCAACATGGTAGAGAACCAGAGCAGGAGAGGAAAAAGAGGGGGTATCAAACTGCTAAACTGCAAGGCATCCAAATGACCTGCTTCTGCTGTAGCCCTGACTTTACCTTAGCCTGCTATTACATTTGTCCTCAGCCTCCTTTTCTGTTGTAATTAAACCCCACTAGCGTTATCTCACCTTCGCCTTTCATTTCCCTTCACGCCCCCATCGTTCTCATACTTTCACTCCTATAACCTCCTCCTTTGCCATCTCTGCCTCTTGCTCCCTCTTTCCTTCCCCAGTCCTTCTCCAAGAACTGCAAAAATCATTGGTGTGCTGCGGTCTAACAATTTGCTTCATCTTCTGCATGAGCTTCTGAAGGGTATGAAGTATCTATGTGCTCCTTTACTTCATTGTTATATTCAGTGTAAAAATAACTTAGTGCTAAGAACTTTTATGTGTGTCTTCTTAGCCTTCTTTCTGTTGTGTCTCAGCAGAAAGCACCTGATACTTCAAAAATAGCAAGAAACTATTGAATCCTTTTTTGTACAGATGTGTTAAATTCTCCCAAAAAGTTATTTGTAACACCTTCCAGCTGAAAATCACACAGACCACCATACAGAGACTCAGAGAGAAGTGAACTAGTGAAGTTCAGCTGTAATTAATGTTTTACAGTGATAAATAGATTAGGAATATCTATCCCCTTTGATTTTTTTCCTTCTCCTTTGGGTTCCTTTTGGTCTGTTATACAAGAGCAATCCCAAGTGCTTCTACAACCTGTACTGTAACCCCATTTGAATGTCACTGTTGGTGGAGCTGATATTCATCATTCACTTTTTCCACACGAGATGAAATTTTACATCTCAAATAGTGTACCTGTGCCATGCACTACATTTCCCAAATTAAACACCACTCGGCCCCAACACAACTGCTGTAAACCTGGAGCCGGCTTTGACAAAGACTTCAGTGTTATTAGTAGGCAAAGGGAGGAGTGTTTATTAAAACACACATGACCCAAGGCAGCTGTGCTTAGACCATATGCATCCCGAAGCAGCAAACCAAAACTCCCCAAAACTCACAAAATACAAAACAGTCACCTCTCAAGGACAATGTGGTGCTTTCATACTCTCAGAGATTCCAAGATAAGCTTTTATATATAGGCTTAAAAGAGCAAGATTTTTTTTTTATTTAGTCTTATTCCAGTGAAAATGCCACGCTCTGCTGCTGTGTTTGTTGTGACTATAAAGGTATTGCATACATGCCTAGCTTGCTGGAAAAAAAATGTGATTTACAGACTAAGGGTAGAATAATGGCTGGCAATAAGCCAAATCATTTGCTATCTCATGGGGCGTAAAAATCCACTGGTTTACAGTGGAGATTTATCAGCTTACTTAGTGAAGATATTATTATGTAGTCTACATACAAATGAAAGCAGAACTATCTGTTTTTCATTTTTCCTCTTGTAGCCTTGAAATTACCTAATGATATAAACATGGATAAATAAACTGATTAAAATGACCTGCCTAAAGAAAGGAATGAGATTTGTGCACCTAACAGAAAATCCAGTTTTCAGGAGTCATGTTTTTCCTTTTCCTGTCCTTGCTCTTCCCACTGCATTCATCATAGGCCATTGAGAAACTCAGAAACATCCCCCTCACAGAAATCTTAATTAAAAGAACAAAGATCTGAAGAGCAATGAGAGTATGGAACAGGATACCATGCTAATCTGACCTGGTATGGCTATTCTTACGCAATGAGAACATTTACATTACGTGTATCCCCCACGTATGCATTTGCGTAATGCTCGATCAGTCTGCATTTGAAGACAATAATGCACATCTCTGTTTTGGCGTATGCCCAAGAAGTGCTTTCGGACTTTCATATCCCTCCCTGCCTCCTCACTCACACCCGTGACCTATATGTGAGAACTTCAGGAAATCCTCATTAGGGTCCTTTGGGATATGATACTAAAACCACTTCTAAGGTAATGTTAGCAGCTGCTGTGCCTGAGTGGAAATGTACATTTCATGGGGATGAATGTAAGAGAAAAATGTAAGTAGAATCAAACTGATCCTCACAGCAAAGTACCCGCTTTGTTAGCCGGTATCGTGCTAAAAAGCTAGATTTTTGTTTCACCACCATACCACCGTTTCTTTGCAGTGCAAGACACATCTGCTGATGAAGTGAAGCATGGAAGCTGTTTCAAACAGCAGGGGAGCAGATACATTAAGTGCAGTAACTCAACGTGCCTAACACGCTATTTATGAGGGAGAGTCGTAGTACTCTAGGGGGCCAGAGCGCAAGTGTCCACCCTGCAATAACATCGTTACCTACGGCGCGTGAGGGGAAAGGGAGAGATGGAAAAACTACTAGACCTAATGAGAGCAAAGCTGTGATGCCAGTTGCAACGACAACGACACAAACAGCAGGGATGTCACCAGAGTTTAAACCAAGAAAGGTGCCGTGAAAACAGCTCAAGGATTAGACAAGAGAGGAGCAGAAAGGAAAGTGAAGTTCAAAAGAACGCACAACTTGGTTGCACCTATGCCAATACCGCACAACATCCTGTCCCGGTTCAAATTAATGGCAAAGCTCCCATTAATTTCCGTGAGCAGGGCCTGAAAAGAACATCAGCAGCTTTAGCAGCGAGTTTTTCCTCTTACAGCTTGCAATAAAATGAAGACTAATGATAACGGAATCAAGAAATTAAACTAAGATTTAATCTTTCTGTGTTCATTGTGAAAGGTGAAGATTTTGTTTCCTATGTGCTGAATTGCACATGTCTGCGATTTCTTAAAGAAACGGAAACAAAAAAAACCAAACCCAACCCTAAACAAAGAATGCAACTCAGAAATCCTGCAGTCCTGTTCTGTCCTCACCTGGTCGAAAATTGTACTCTGTTAACAAAGTCCGCATGGAGAAATCAACCCTGCACGGTCCCACATGTGCATGCCCACACACACTTCACTTGCCTGCACTCTGGGAAAGGAAGTTATCCTCAAAACTGCTGCAAAAGCCCTCAGACACTGCTTAACTTTTAACAGGAATGCATTACCATCCTGGTTTCGGCTGGGATAGAGTTAATTTTCTTCCTAGTAGCTGCCATAGTGCTGTGTTTAGGATTTAGTATGAGAATAATGCTGATAGCACACTGATGGTTTAGTTGTTGCTAAGTAGTTCTTACGCTAGTCAAGGACTTTTCAGCTTCCCATGCTCTGCCAGGTGCACAAGCAACTGGGATGGGGCACAACCAAGATAGCTGATCCCAACTGCCCAAAGGGATATTCCATACCATGTGACATCATGCTCAGTATATAAACTCCCCAACAGGGGAGTTGGCTGAGGGGCAGCAATTGCTGCTCAGGGACTGGCTGGGTATCAGTC